ATGGGAATTAGGCGGCGTCCATCTTGCCACTTCACTCCTAGGAACTGAATTTCCTGAGCAGGTCCCTTGACCTTACTCCGTTTAATGGCAAAACCGGCTCTTAGGAGAATCTGGATTATCTTCTCTCCTTTCTCGAAGACTTCGCCCGCCGTGTTCCCCCATACAATGATGTCGTCAATGTACTGTAGGTGCTCTGGAGCCTCACCCTTTTCCAGTGCAGTCTGGATCAGTCCATGGCAAATGCTGGGACTGTGTTTCCACCCCTGAGGCAGTCGATTCCAGGTGTACTGCACACCTCTCCAAGTGAAAGCAAATTGTGGCCTGCACTCCGCTGCCAAAGGAATGGAGAAAAAGGCATTGGCAATGTCAATGGTGGCATACCACTTGGCTTCCTTGGACTCCAGCTCGTACTGGAGCTCCAGCATGTCCGGCACAGCAGCACTCAGGGGTGGTGTGACTTCATTGAGTCCACGGTAATCCACCGTCAGCCTCCACTCTCCGCTGGACTTACGCACTGGCCATATAGGGCTATTAAAGGGTGAGCGAGTCTTGCTGACCACCCCCTGGGTCTCCAGTTCACGGATCATCTTATGTATAGGAGTCACAGAGTCTCGGTCGGTGCGGTATTGCCGACGGTGCACTGTTGCTGTGGCTATCGGTACCAATTGTTCTTCAACCTTCAGCAGTCCCACAGCAGAGGGGTCCTCTGAGAGACCAGGCAAGGTGTTCAACTGTCTAATTTCCTCCGTCTCCACAGCAGCTATGCCAAAAGCCCAACGAAGTCCTTTTGGGTCTTTGAAATACCCACTCCTCAGGTAATCTATGCCAAGGATGCACGGGGCCTCTGGGCCAGTCACGATGGGGTGTCTGTGCCATTCCTTCCCAGTCAGGCTCACTTCAGCTTCCAGTACAGTCAGCTGTTGGGATCCCCCTGTCACCCCAGAAATGGAGATGGATTCTGCCCCTACGTATCTTGATGGCATTAAAGTGCATTGTGCGCCGGTGTCCACTAAGGCCTTATACCTTTGTGGCTCTGATGTGCCAGGCCACCGAATCCACACTGTCCAATAGACTCGATTGTCCCTCTCCTCTACCTGGCTAGAGGCAGGGCACCCCTAGTCCTGGTCATGGTACTCATTGTGCTCTTCTTGTGGGTATGACCTGGAGGTCCCTTCAAGAGGATCAGACGTATCATCATTCCTGTACCGTCTGGAGTCTTGCCCACGAGAGACTGGAGCAGCGTTTACCCTTGAAGAGTTCCTTGTGGTACTTGTTCCTCTTTTCAGTTCACGTACCCGGGCTGCTAAGGAAGGGGTGGGTTTCCCATCCCACTTCCTCATATCTTCTCCGTGCTCACGGAGGTAAAACCATAGATCGCCACGTGGAGTGTACCTTCTCTCCTTAGCTGGGGAACGCTGGCTCCTAATAGCAGAGACTCTTGTTTGTCCTGGTGAGATATGGAAGATCCCTTCCTTAATTTCCTCTCTTAGCTTCTGGTGTCCCTCTTCAATTTTCTCTTCCAGGCTTCGGACGTGTTCAGCCAGTTTGGTTTCCACAGATGAGACGTGGGCTCGTAATGGGGCGGTGACAGTGTCTTCATACATCCTGAGTTTACTAACCAATGCTCCCACCTTGTCCTCTCCCTCCCTCCATTGCAGCGTTGCTAAGTAGCGGGAATACATTTCTGGCCCGAGTCGTGCAAACTTTAACCACATCTGGGAGGTGCACTGTACGCCATCTGGACTTTTAGGGAATCTTTCATCGTCTGAAAAGATTATCTCCAGTACAGCTAACTCCCTTAAGCACCGGATACCTTGTTCCATCGTGTTCCACTGTCCTTGCTGTACGTGGAGGTCCTCCTTGCAAAGGTATCTCTCCCTCACACTGCACAACAGTCGCCGCCAGAGGCTGAGAGTTTCCTGCCTCCTTCCAATCCCCTGATCAATGACTACATCTCGAGACAGGGACCCCAGCTGTCTGGCTTCAGTCCCATCTAGGATTGTATCGTTAGCTGCGGCATCCCAGATTCGGAGCAGCCAGGTCAGAATGGACTCGTTCGCCTGTCGTGTGAACTCTCTCCGGAGCTCGCGTAGCTCACCCAGGGATAGGGACCGAGTGATTATTTCTGGCTCTGTCTCCTCCAGTGGATGTGAAGGTCCTGCCTCTTCGTCATCATTTGCTATACGGACTGATTTAGTCTTTGATTTCCTTTTCTGGACAGGGGCGACTGCTATTGGTTTTGGTTGTTCTTCTGGCTCCTCGATGGTTTGTGTGGACACGGAGATGGTTGGTTTATTTCTTTCTCCCTCTGACTCAGCTGTGGTTTGGGTGGACGTGGTGCCTGCGGATTTGGTCCTTCTCTCCTCCCCCTGACAGTGCTGTACCATGTCAAGTAGTGTCCGGTAGGCAGTGGCCAGGGCCCAGCAGGTTGCTGTGAGCTGGCCATCTCTGGAGCTGCCAGAGCATTTTTCCTTCACCAGTCTTATCATGCTAACAGGATCCTGCAGTTGTTCAGGGGTGAATTTCCAGATCATTGGAGGAGAAAACTTCTCCAAATACTGGCTGATGTCCTCCCACTTCCCGTGCCACTCAGCATTATCTGCTCCCAGGGCAGGTGTCCAGACAACCTCCCTAGAAGGCCCTGTTCTGACCCTAAACATGGTGTACACAGTACAGAGCAGACAGAGTAACACTAACAATAACATTATGCTGTCCTTAACATCAAAAGGGAACTCAATATTTTCAAAAACTGTTGTAGCAGGTCTGAAGGGGAAGAAGGAGGTGAGAGGCTGGAAACAACCATCCCCCCCTGTTCCCCCAAAGGGCTGGGTACGATTTTTAATGAAACCCCAGAGGTAGCAACCCAAACCAGGACAGGCAAACAGGACTGAATACACATTTACAATGAAACTCATTGCTTCTGATGTTAGAATGACATAAACATAATATACTAATAAAGCAATTTGGATCCCTCTCCCTGGTCTTAAAGAGAGCATCAAAACAGGCAAATAGTTCCCCATCTGTGGAAATATGAACAGGCTCAAATACAACATCCATGTGACTGCATCAAACAACATGGTGATCAGGGAGTTTCTATATCCAAATAAACAAATGCTTAAAGTGAAATTGTGATTCTGACTTCTCTCTCTCTGCCCCACGTTGGGCGCCAAAAAATGTGCTGGTTTAAGAGTTAACCAGCAGGGGAAATGAACTCAACTCAAAGGAGAGATTATAAGTCAGAATAACAATTTACTAAAATAATACAGTAAGTACAATCATACAAACAAACAATTGGTCTTAACCCACAAAACCCAAATGTATAACCCAGTACCCTGGGGCATGAACAACGTGGTGTTCCTTGGGCCCCGCTTGAGTCCAAAGTAAAGGGAGAGGGGAAGAACCTGCTGGTGGGAGAGCTGTTGCAGTCTAGTCAAAAGTGGTGATTGCAGTGAGATGCTGGGGGGAGAGCTGTTGCAGTCTGGTCAAAGTGGTGATTGGAGTCCAGTATAGGGTGATCCAAGTCTGTTTGAGAGCGATGAGCCGCAGTCCTTCTCTGGATCCCACAGACTGGTTAAAAATGTTCCAAGACTCCAAGATTATATATCCTGCAGTTCAGGCAGGAATGCTCAGCACTTCCCTCAGGGCGGGGAGTTCCACAAAGGGTGTGAGGACAGGAGCATCCTCCTATCTCACAGGCCTCTTAACACCTAGTCTGTAGCCTGAGGAGTCAGGCTCTATGGGCAGATGGTGTAAATGGTTCATTGATAACAGTTTCTGGGAAATGGCATGGAAGGCTATAGAATACACAGGTTTTGGGTTACACCCATACCCTGATGAACTGGTCTCAGTTGTCCTAACTAGGACAGGCAGAGTTTTGCAGAGCAAAATCCCAGCTAAAAGCCCAGGTTTTAACCGATTTCATAGTAGGGCTTGGTAATAACAGGCAGAAGTCCTCTCTCAATATGAATTGCCATACTTTAATTTTTGAAGTGCATTTCAAAGCTTCCTTCATTTTTCAGTTTCCCTCCCTGAAAATAAATTTCTGTTTCAGCAGGTCCCTGTAATATTCTGGGAACTTTAGAAATGAACCATAATGACTGTTGTACATAACATGTACCCCAGGGACTTAGTAACAGCTCACAGTTACCCCTGGACACATCTCGCCATCTCTCCCAAATTGTTTGGATATAAAGGCTGGTCTGAAGCTTTGCCATAAGCACCAGGCAAAGCCTCTGAAAGCAACACTCTACTCCAAAAGCACACCAGGAAACAGACTTCACCCCGCTGAATCACCCTGTGGTTTCTGATTCTAGGAGATGGTCGGTGGGGGAGGAGAGAGAGGGAAGTGGCCTGTACTGCCCCATGCCAAGCACAAATTGCTTCCTTGGCTAAAAAGCACTCTCCATTTTTTTTTCATTCTGGGCTGTATAACTGTAACCCTTTGCAAGGAAGGAGGGTGGAGCGTCCCCCAGGATGCTGGTTTCCTGGCACTGCAGCTCACAAGAAGGCACCACTAATGCAGGACCATTTGGCAGAAAGTTGCAATTTGGACTGACACAGCATTGCCATAAAATGTCTGCTTGTCCAGTCCTGCAACCCAAGCTCTGTTACACTGATCACTGCATTTCATTTTGTATCTGTGGCCACTGGCTTTTGAGCACGCAAAACGAGATGCAGCGATTATTTCCTGGCTGCAGGGGAAAAGTGCACTACAGACCCTCTGTCTCTTCTCAGGCTTTTGAGGATACAGCTTGCATTGCTAAAGAAAGCAGAATTGTCCTGTTGTGGCTTGCTCACACAGGTTTCCCAGGGAGTGCAAAAAGCTGCTGATTTGGGCCCAGCATCTATTTTTAATTTATAGAAAAGGCTTCAAGAATGCAGGGTAAGTGCTCTTCCATTGTATTCTAAAAATGAAGTAAGCTGATCTAAATCCATTTCTGAATTCCTGTGAGGAGGACTGTTCAAAGGACATATGAATTATACATTGAAAAAGCCCAGGGTTTGTGAATTAGGATTTTTATTTTTTTTTTACAAAACTTTCCTTCTGGCATATTTGAGAACTGTGCAACTGCTTACATGTCTGAAAAGCTTTTCTGTATAGAGAGAAATAGCTGTAAGATGGAGCCTAGTAAGATGGATTTTAGAGCATCAGAGACAGGAAGGACAGAATATTTCTTTAATTATACACAAAATTGCCTTTAAGTGTTCAGATTTGATCCTAGTATGTATGTATGTAAGTAATGTATGATTCAATACTGTCCAAATCCTACATCTTGCCATGTGGTAATGCTAAACTATTTTCTAGATGGTCTAAATAGCACTCTTCCTCCCTCCTCTCCATCACCACAAGAACTTCAACTTGCTGGCTTCTTCATGGTTTCCTAGAAGTGGAAGTTCCTGCATTTTCTCCATAAGGCTTATTATTTTAGCATCTGTAACAACAGAACATGGATTCAACTGACTGCAAGCAGTATTGGCAAGCACAGTTTCACTTAAACACCTTCAATTAAACCAGTTGCTCGTGGCAGAGTAACTGCCACGGACAGACCCTTTCACTCCTTGCCCATGAGAAATATCAACACTGCGGTGTGTTCCTGTGCCAGTTCCCTTCTCACTGGCAGTGAGTTTATGAACAGCACTCTTTCCACACAGGGTTTCCATTTTTCCCAGGAAAGGAATTCACCCCAGTTGTGGTGACTGCAGCCATGAACAATCAGGATTTCCCATTCTTTCAGATACAGGCAGTCAAAGGAAAAAAATAAAATTCACCCTGACACAGAAGATGTGGTCAGATCATCTGCTGAACCTGCTCTTTGGAAAGATGGGCTCTTTCACTTTATTTCAAAGAATATGTCCTGTTCTCCCAGGCAAAACTGCCTATAGATTGCAGTTGGTTTAATACAATTATCCATATCATATCAGACGTCTTTTAATTACTACCTATATAAATTCTGATCAGACAAGAAACACTGATCAGTGAGGTATCCCATTCCCTTTCACTTTTTACAAATAAACCCCAAAAGCACATTCTTCAGTCCAGAGATGAGCAACAGCTTTGTAAGACAGAAGACTACAGCTTCATACTGACTCCTCCAGATTAATTCCACATCACACAATTTCTCAGGAGAGTACCAGTGTCAGAGTACCAATGCCATCATGTGCACATCGAATAAACACATCATGGTGAAAGAGTTTCTGGAATTACAGAAGTTGCTAAGACTCTTCTGTACCTCATTTTATGTCAAGTCCCAATTTGTCAGGGCTAACAGCTTCCATTGAAGAATGTGGTAAAACACTTGATGATTTCACTGCAGCAGATGTTGAAAAACTGCCTACGGTTTTTCTTTCTCAAGTGAGGAATCTGTAAGCCATCTCACTGCCTGTGGCTGGGCTATCTGTTGGTCCTAACTAAAGTTGCATCCCAGGTCACACCTGGCATCGCTCCCTTACTGACTCTGACATTGAATCCAAGTGGAACTCAGACCAACAAGGAACCAGCATTAAGTCCTACTGATTGTCTTTAAGCATTCACGACTACATCTAATTTAGAGCACAACCTGCCTGAGGCACTCTCAGTCTGTGTTTTATTCATCTGAAGCAATATACACACCAATATACACACCTAGGATGCTGACAGATGTTCCTTTGCCCTGGAGAATAATGCTGCCACCTGCATTTTTATGCGCACACCAGCGAGTGCCAGCCATAGCAAAGAATTATTGCACACGTGCCACAGCGCGGATGCAGCACAGAGCAGGATTAAAACAGACTGGGGACAGTAGCTGCTAACGTGTCAAATGACACAACCTCTCCAGAACTGCTGAAAGTCTCATGTAGCATTCAGCCACATTTTTCTTAACGCAACTTATCTAGTCGCCAACCCAAACCAATAGACTGCTTATAAAACTACAGAACAGAGCAGTAAAAAGATACAGTTCCCGTCTGCCCTCTTTTTGCATTTTTTTCTCATTAAAGGAGGGGCAGTTTTGTTACAAATTTAACTGCTAATTTGGAGGTTTAAAAAAAGTCGTGAAGTCCTGAAAAGCCAGATTAGGTAAAGTCTGGTCTAGTGGGAGGTGTCCCTGCGGAGCTTGGAACTAGATGACCTTTAAGGTCCATTGCAATCCCTTAACATTCTGTGATTCTGTCCCAAAGCATCCATTTTAGTGATGTTGGAGTTTACAATTCACAATAAAACTGCAGTATTTGGAATCAGTGTGCTTTATATTATTTCTTAAAGCCCAGTTTCCTGGAGTCTTGTGAAGAAAAATCACATCCTTTTCACCTTTTAAATGAAAGATAAATTTCTAGTACCCCACAGATACAGAGAAACTTGAATACATGAAGCCCAAAGGTTTAAAGAAAACCCACATGCAGCAAAGGGCAAAAACCATTATGATTTCCTAGGTTTTTTTAGGTAGCAGTGTCTGCAGATAGGAATAGCTGACTCATCATTTTGAATGCCTGGGACTGACAAAACCTTGGTATTGCTGGAGTGAGTTTTATGTCTGTCCATGTGTTCTCAATAAAGGAACTGGAACAAAGCTTATTGAAATCAGCAATCAGGGTGCCTGCCAGCACAGAGCTCTGGATCACACCCTAACAGACTATAAGCCCTTTTACACTGCAGGTCAGTGCTGTGGAGGCAGTATTCTAGTCAAAATATAAATTTAGTTTGTTTTAAGACGTAGTTTGGAAGCTGAATCAGGAGTTAGGCTATGAATGAAAACTATGCATTTTTATACTTACTTACGAAAATATGAAGAGCTCTTTGCAAAGGAAACATTTCAATCAAGAAGTCTGACTGTGAACCTGACGAAAATTCCCAGGGTCTTATACATTCTTTATCAGAAAATCTCCATCAGCTCATGCCACCTTACCCAGTTGTCCCATTCCATCACTTCTGCCTCCTGCAGTACAGCTGTGGATTATATGATACTGAACTGACTGCAGGTGCACACACCAACTTAAAATGAAGTCAGGAAGTAAGAGTAACATTGTGCTGGAAGAGCAATAACAATTGCTTGTGTTCAGTGTTGCCTTTTTAGCTGGTGATGTTTGGACAGCATCAAAACATGCCACGCCTCAGAGGAATTATAAATGAGTACAATTCAGGCAGAACTCTGCCACAAACTAAAGGATATCCACTGACTCTTAACCCAGGAAAAAGGGCTTTTTACTTGGCCACATAAGCAATGTTTAGCAAGAGTCTTTCTAGGTCAGTACGCTTCATAGAAATGTGCTTTTAACATATCAAAAACTGAAGTTTCAGAGAACCTCTCAAATTTGGTTTGCTTTGGGTTCTTTATTTTGGCCTGCCATTAATTTGCTGTCAATGTGGAAGAGATATTCTGGATCTACATTTTCAAATGCATCCCTTACCTTTGATTTGAACACAATTAGGCGTCGCTATTCAGAAAAGCTGTGGGGCTTTTGGCACTCTGCAAATTAAACATAAATGTCTTGAGTTTCCAACATCTATCCAGTGGATGCTTCTGGGAACTCAGAGCAACATCTCCCATCCTGCAACTCCCCATCTGGCGACAGCAGAACTTACCTATCCTTCTAGGAAAGCTGTGATGCTTTCAAAGCGTGAGTCACAGCTCACAAGGAGGCGTTTCAATGCAAGCTTCACACTGGGATTATTATTGTTGCAAGGCCATTTTTAAAAGCAAATCTGAAAGTACAAGTCCCCTTCCTTTTAAAGGGAAAATCTGTCTTTGCTTAAACCCTTGTCTAGAGAACTCTTGACAGATATTGTAAGCTCAGGTACTTTACCTCCTCTTACACTGAAAAACCTTAATTCCAAAGGGAGCATCTAGGCATGTTTTTATTTTATCTGCATACATCCAGTTGTTAAATCTACGTGGCTGGCAACATCCTGAGGCACAGAGCAGCTTCAGCGGAGGCTGAGCTATTCATAGGCCAGCACGCCAGCCGGGAGTGAGCTCATGAGCTCACAGCTTCCCAGCACCAGCTGCCAGCTCGGCTGGGACATGTAAAGGGAGCGAGGGAAAATGTATGTGGGAGGAGGGAGGCGCAAGGGGGAACAGAAAGGGGACAGGATCTTAATTGCTAATATCTCATGTCAGGATCTGCCGAAATCACGTTAGAGGTCTCAGTGTTTACAACTCTGCAGTAAAGGATGGCAGGCTTTGCATTGTGTGAGACTGCTTTGCTCCAGGCTGGCATTTGGCACTACGACTGCCTGGTAGGGGCAACTTCGAAGGAGCAGTGTGCTCTGAGAAGGAGCATTTCTATTTCACAACAGACCAGCCAAAATGATCAGCAGCTGCCTCTCCTCTCAGTAGGATACCAGAGTGGTACCTGCTAGCCCAGGGCTACCTACCAAAGCCAAGACAAACAGCCAGCAAGGAGTCTAAAGATTACCGCTATTTATTTATAGCAACTGCTGCAAGTTTGGTGACCATCCATTTAATAACCACACCTCACACATGGGCACATTCACAGTTATAACCATTTGTTTTTACACATCACCTTAATGCAGATCTTCCTAATATCTGAGTTAGCTTTACACACTTCAGCAGCCTGACCAACTTTAAAAAAAATTGCTTTTAACATCAGGGCTTCCATTACAAACAAAAAATCAGTGTACCTGAATTAAGATGGCTGTGGCTGCAACCAGACTGATCATCGGTACCTGAACTGAGAAGTACCAAGAAGTAGATTGTTGTGCTCCTGTGCTTAGCGTGTTTTGTGGTACTATTTTGGTGACAGTTGAGAAGGCACTGAGAGCTTTGTTGTATCATAGAATCATAGAATCAGCTGGGTTGGAAGGGACCTTTGAAATCATCAAGTCCAACCCTTGATCCACTACCGCTGTGGTTACTAGACCATGGCACTAAGTGCCACATCCAGTCTCCTTTTAAAAATCTCCAGGGATGGAGAATCCACTACTTCCCTGGGCAGCCCATTCCAATGTCTGATCACCCTCTCTGTAAAGAAATTCTAATATCTAACCTAAACCTCCCCTGGCACAACTTTGAGACCATGCCCTCTTGCCTTGACCACATATTAAGGCATTTAAGGCAGAGATATAAAAGTGAAAAGACAAGGAACACAGTTTACCTCAGCTTTGTCCAACCAGGCCACACTAGTATCACAACAGTAAGTGATGCTGAAGGATATAAATGTTATTATGAGGCACTGCACCATAGTAAGATTCCCCATACCCCTCTCTGCACTGCCCAGATGCTGGCCTGGTGCTAGCCTGGTGCCAAACAAGCACCAAACAGCCATGCTATGCCTCAGCATCTCTCCTCCCACCGGAAAAGGAGCAACACAGGCTCTGCTACTGCAGCCCCCCTATCCTCCCTCTAGGTCCCAACCATCCTTCACAGCAGCAGAGCAAGACTTCTACCTGTATGCGGTCAGCACCTACTGGAGGAAAGGGACACCATGAATGAAAATTGACAGCAAAAGGGGCTGGCAGGAGGATGGACCCCAACTGCCATTTTAAACAACAGCCTTCAATATCGAGTGAAATCCTCAACAGGCAACTGCTGTGTGTCCTCCCACTTATCCCAATCATTTGGGACATGGAAAGGGGACACACACCACACCTCTTTGTTAGTGCTTACAGACATTTCTCCAAAAGTGTTAATATCATGAGAGCTGGCAGTGTTACTGGTATTATGGAAGATCAAAATGATAATCAGTTGTCACCAGTTCAGAAGCACTCCAATGTGGTGATCTTAACAGACCCCTCATGAAGCCATGATTCTCTTCCCAAGCTGATTATGCCACATAGCCCTGCTCAATGAAGAGCAGTACTGAGACACAGTCTCCCAGAGCAAGACAGGCAACTACAAAGGCATCCAAGCATCAGTATCACAAGCACCTCACATTTAAACTTCAGTGCACTGATGCAGATCTTCAATGCAGGTAGGTTCCACAGATCTCATCTTCCTGCAGAAACCAAGACCCACTCTTAAGCCCACACAGTGCAAGCAGAAGGCTAAAAGGAGCTGCTGGCTCCACCTCTGGAAGGAATTGCTGGAGGAATGGCACCAAATTCCCACATGCCTCCCTGACATGGGAAGCTGCCTCCACAGCTGCAAATCCAAACGGGCTCTGAGAGCCTCCATTGCTCAGCAGCTGTACTGGCTATTTTCTGCTGAACCAGGGCCTCAGTATTTTCAGCCAGAGAAGAGCTGCCTTGAATTCACACACACCCAAGGGCCTGTATATAAACTGAACGTTGTGAACCACTAGTGGCATTTTTCTCTGCTATGCATAACTAGGAAAAATGGGATTTTAATGGATTTATTCTCAACCTACTTTAAACTCACAAAGATATGAGGCCTTATGTCATCATTATAGTTACTACATGTGATCCTGTGTGTGTTATGAAGAAGCAAGCTAGAAATGAGTACTGGATGAACTCAAAAGCTTGCAACTCCTCTGCCAAAGCAAAGTCTGTCACAAGTTGCTAAATACGTAACCACGCAAGTTAAAGAGACCCACACGCCAATAAGTCAGTATTTCAGGGCGATGAGACTACTGTGCACCAGCTATGAACCAAAAGGTCTTTGCTCTGCTATGGACTTCATGCATGGATTTGGAGTAGGTCACTGTTTAAACCTTCATTTACCCCCTCACTCCTCTTCCCCCTGAATTGAGATCTGTAGACTGTACCTACACTCTGTCCAGAGCTAGGAGTATAAACATGCTGAAGATTGTGAAGTGCTTAGATACCACAGTGATCATGCACTGCCAAGTTTTGATAAAATTATACTACTGGGCTAGTATTCTACAGTAAAACAATTTGGGGGTGACAGAATTAGAAATAAAAGCACTGATGTATGCTGGCACAGAAATCCCAACTCTGGGCAGCAGGCATGTATGAGATACAGATGTGGTGTTTCCCCACCACAGAGAAGGCATCATCAACTCATGTCTCTTCTGCTCTTTACTATATATGTTTAAGCTTTAAAGGAAGCTTTCTGCTATTATGCAAAATAAGACAGGCTTTCAGCCCACTCTCTGACAAAGCGGCCTTTAGCTGAATGAAGTTGCTGGACTGGAAGCCTCAGATGTCCACCAGTTCCCCAAACATGCTGAAGTGGGATGGGCATAGTGGTAAAGATTTTATTAGCACCACAGGTCTGACTAAAAGGGGAGTTTTGCCAAGACTAGATATATCTGTTAAGTAGCCTCATTAAAAGACCCTACATGAGCTGAGGCTCCTCTGAATCAGGCCAGCAAGATCTGTTCCTAAGTACCTCAAAAACTGCTCTGTAATTCAAACCGAAGAATCCAGCTTTTCAGAAACTGGAAAAAAAAAGCTTACCTCAACTTTTTACACTTCTGGATATACAACTTCACACTGACAAAATTTTTTTAGTGTTAACAGGAATACCTTCACTTGCTGTTTGTTGTAAACTAGCCAGTTTACCCTCCTAACTTTTGAGGAGGCCAAGGGTCACCTGGGTTTGTACTCAGCACATTCACACAGAGTGGGATACCACAAAACCATCTTAGTTAAGGTTACACAGAGCTAACAACACACACTCCCATTAATAGCAACAAGCCCAGCACAAGCAGTTTGAGACAGCATCCCCAAATACACTATGCATATGTACAGTAGTGCTAGGGTCACTTTCACACTTTCCAATGCTCATTATTAAAAAAAAAAAAAAGAAAATTAGTTGCATATTAACCAAATGCTTTCTTTGAGCGCTAAATACTCATTTTGTAACCTACTTAAGCAACATTTTACAAGCCGTGTTTTGAACCAATTACTATTGAAAAACAGGACTATGACAGTAATAAGAAATGCATTTAGTTGGCATAAATCTGACTAGTTTGTGTTTATGTCAGTGAAATAACAACCATGAAGTCAGTCTTTGCGGGAAGAGTCTCACCCTTCAGGGTATCAGCTTTCTGGAAATGGGGCTGTTTCCTACAATCCTCATGGAATTAATTATATTACTGATTTCAGGCCTAACAAAGATATAAAAGACCATTCAAATGCTGATTCCTTTACCTAAGGTTATATGCAGATCTAACAAGGTACACTAATTCAGGCAGCAGTTGTTCAATTAAGTATAGGAATAACATGGTTAAAAATTACCACTTCAGTCTATGCAAGTTCGGTGAGATTATCTTACTAGTTGCTCTTTACAACAAGGAAGCATGTCTGAAGTCATGTGAGACCAAAGCACATGCTCTTGCTGCAAGAAGAAGTTTTAATATAAGGAATACACAACTTTACAGAAACCCACGCAGCATTTCCATATATGCTCCACACCTCCTGGGGTCAGGCCCTTTGCAAACTGCTTCTAATAAGGCATCCCCAGAAAGCTGGAAGTACTCTAACCCCGGAGGAGACCATGCTCGGCCCGCAGCTGGTGCCGTGCAAGTTAAGCTAACAAAGAGGTGACTTGAATCATTGGAGCCCTTTAGAAACCACTACACCAGTGATCCCTCCAAACATCCAGCATTTTATCCATCATTAAAGTTACTTAAGAGCCGTGCTGACATCACAGCATCTTTCACAACCGGCTGCAATCTTAAACAAATGAATCACTTGAATTGTCTGGGACAGCAAAAGAAACCCAGGTTATCTCAAAGGCAGTGGCTGAGATATTTTTTTCCACGTTATTATTTTCCACCTTCAGTTTAAACAACTCTTAGGAGCTATTTGAGCGCTGTAAAGCACAAACAAGGCAAGCTCCGGCAGCCTGGCTCTCTATCCGACCCGAGGCGGCTGAGGCAGCGTGTTCCCTGTGTGCTGAACGGGGCATATTTTCCCACCTGAAAGCCGGCGGAGGGTCGGCAGCCCAGGGGGGAGAGGGGCTGGCCGGGGGCGATGCCCGGCCCGGAGCAATGCCCTGCAGGCGCAGGGCATCCCTCCGCCCCCGCCGGGCGATGCCGCGGCGCCCTGGCCCCAGCACCGCTAAAAATAAAGCCCGTCTCCGCCGGCCTGCCCTCAGGAATCGGGGTTGGATCGATGATTTTCTTTTAAATCTGGTTTTTATCAATCCCCCCCTCCCCCGACAACCCGGCTCCGAACCGCCCAGCTCGGACCGCAGCCCTGCGAATAACTTCAGGGATGGCCGGGACCGCCGCCGGGCGGGGGGACGGGACCGGGGGGCCCGCGGGCAGCGCTCGGCACTCACCTGGCCGGCGGTGTCGTACAGCCCCAGCAGGTACTGCTTGCCCCCGACGGTGACGCTGACTGCGAGAAGGGAGAAACACAGCGCGTGAGGGGGGGCACCCCCGGCCGACCCTCTCCCATCCCCCGGCAGGGCCAGGCCAGGGGATGGAGTGAACAGGGAGGAGGGAGAGGCGCCCGCTCACCTGCGTAGTGGTCGAACACGGTGGGCACGTACTCCTCGGGGAAGGCGTCGTTGGCGTAGCTCATCAGCAGGCACGTCTTGCCCACGGCGCCGTCCCCCACCACCACGCACTTCAGCATGACCGCCGCGCTGCCATGGGCCATGGCCGGAGCCCGCCCTCATGGCCCCGCGGGCGCGCCCCGCCGCGCCGGGCCCCTCGGCATCGCCGCCGCCGCCGCTCAGCGGGCGCCCCCGCCGGCCCCCGCCGGGCGCGGCCCCCCCGCCATCCGCCGCCGCGCTGGGCCCGGCGGGAGCCGCCTTCCCCCGGCCGCGCAGGGGCAGCGCCCGCCCGGGCGCGGGGCCGGGAGGGGGCGGGCGGCGGGGCTGCGGGGCTGGGGCCGCCGTGCGGGAGCGGCCGCTCGCCCCGGCCCCGCTGCCCGCACACGCATGCACAGAACACCCCGCGCTTCCCCGCCCCGAGAGGTACTCGGCAGCCGCGGGCACCCCCTGCCCCGCGCGGGCGGCG